CGGCGGCGGGGGCCGGGGTGAGCCCCGGCTTGAGGTGGTCCCTGTGGCCTTTGTCCTGCTCAGGGGAGGGGGGGCGGCCTCAGGCTTCGGGGATCAGCGCGCCCTTGGCTTGGGATGGGGGGGGTGACCTGCCGGGCTCCTGTCTCCAGGCTGGCACCGCACTGGGGTCACCTTTCCCTTCGCGCAGGGAAAACTCTCCCCAGCCCTCGCCGTGGAGCCGAGAGGGGGCCGAGGTCACAGCCCGGCTCGGGTGCCCCCGGCCCCATTTCGTTCTGGAATTCTGACGTTGGGTCTGGGAGGGACCGACGGACGGATGGACGGAGCGCTGACCCTGAGTGCGGGCAGGAAATGGGCGGGCCTGCTTGGCCCCGGGCAGGTTCGGCGCGGGCGGAGGTGTCAGACTGGTTCCCTGGAGCGGCGCGCCCCAGCCCCAGCCCTAGCCTTAGCCCCAGCCCCAGGGAGTCCCCGCGAAGCCCTGAGACCACCGCGCCTGTGCCCTGGGAGGTGCGGGCTAGGAATAAGTGTTTTCCCAGCGTGCTAGAGGCTACCTAGGGGCGGTGGCAACACTGGCCACACCCTCTAACGCTAGACCTCAAATTGAGAGTCACCTGGGGTGCGGTTTCCCAAAGTTGCAAGAATGGGGGAAGGGGTGCTAAGTCACAGGAGTCTTACAGGAGTGGAAGGACAGGGGAGTAGAATGTGGGTTTCCCATCTTACTCAGACCTCCTAGACTCATCACCAAGCCCCCTCCCAGTGTGGGGAGGCTGGCTGTGTCTGTGGGAGGGAGGGTCTCTTACTTTACTGTTGGGGGCGGGCAAGGGCTCTGGCCTGGGAACTTGGTCCTACCTTGCTGAGTCACCGCCTGGAGGCTGCAAAGATGGGCAAGTCTGTGCCCACCTTCCTGTCCCCCCAGGCTCTGCTGACTTGCAGACACCACGCAGAGCAGTCATTCACTCACAACACGGCTGGAGTGCCTCCTGTGCACCAAGATCTGAGCAAGACATAAGAATCTCACCCTAGAGGGGTCCCAATCAGGGTGTCTGTCCTCCCCAGACTCATGTTAGCAGTGATCCCAGAAGTCATGATAAAACTAAAATGTGACAAGTGTAATAAAGTTGGTGTGGGAAGATGGAGCACAGGGCATCGCCGTGGGTCCCCCAGCTGGGGCTGTACCACTACATGCTTGTTCTGAATAGCACATGCCCAGTGGGCACCCACCATTCACACAGCGCTATCCTGGGCCAGGGCCCTGTGGAAGACGGCACAGCAGGAAAGCCCAGCATGTGTTTGGAGAATCTCAGTTGTCACTTGCCCAGACTTCAGGCATTTTGTCAGCGTCATAGTCAGTAAGCAGGGTGGGACAGGGGCCAAGCCTCAAACACCAGGCATGACTGTAGAACCTGGGCACCTCAACGGTAATAGGCAGAAAGTGTCCTTAGTGGGTTCTGCCCACCACAGAGGGCCTCCCAAGACACGGGGGCCAGCCTTTCCTCAGAGACAGGTCCTGTGTGTACACCCTGGTCTGGCATGTAAGGCTTGTGTGCCAGTCCAAGGCAAGGGTGAGGTCAGGGCAATCGCAGGATAGCCCCTCTCACCTGGCTATAGGTCATAGGCTCCCTGGTAGACACGTCCTGTGATCTAAGAAGAATCCATCCTGCTCCACAGAGGGTGGGCTATGGACTCGCAAGGGGAAGGGTGTTTCCAGTTCTTCATCTTTGGGCTGGGTGGGGTCCTCAAGACAGTGATGCACATTTCCCTCAGAGTTTCAGGGCTTGGGAACCCCTCACTGGGAAAATGGCTCCCCTCATTTGTAGAGGGGAGATGAGCTAGGTGGCTGGCTCTCAGGGAAAGGAGCCTCTGGCCCTGGCCCTGATGGTTCTGACCAGCCACCCCTGCACACAGCCACTGCCCACTTCAGCTTCTGCCGGACCCTCCTGGAGCACACAGTGTCTGCAGAAAGCATCCCTTACCACCGGCCTCGGACGCCAGGCACCAGCCTCACGTGGCACGACTCCCGCAGCCAGAGGGCTGCCGGCAGCAGGCCCATCAAGCTCCTGCAGCAGCCTGGCACAGAGACCCCCCAGGTATCCACCCACCCCACCCGCCTCAACCCCTGCCCTCCTAGATCCGCCACTCTCACTCCACCTGCCACCCCCTCCCCTGCAGGGCCAGCTGTACTCTGACCACTATGGCCTGTACCACACCAGCCCCTCGCTGGGCGGCCTGACGCGACCCGTGGTCCTGTGGAGTCAGCAGGACGTCTGCAAATGGCTCAAGAAGCACTGCCCCCACAACTACCTCGTCTACGTCGAGGCCTTTTCCCAGCATGCCATCACTGGTACAGCACGGCCATGGTGGCTGGGGCGGGCGGGGTGTCTGTCCTCCAGCCTCAGCCTGCCTTTCCTCCATGTCAGCCTCTGCTCTGTGTGTTTGTCTCTCTGCAGAATCCGCCTCGAGTGTCTCTCCCAGTTTCTGTTCTGTCCTCACCTGGCTCTTCTCTGTTCAGTCTCTGTCTTCTGCTCCCCATCCCGTTCCGCTGCCTCTCTCCCAGGAAGTCTCTTTTCCTGTCTCTCTATCCCTCCTCCCCACTCTTGCCCTCTTCGTCTCTGCCTTGGCTCTTGCTGGCCTCAGCACAGCCCCTCTCCTCACTCCCCAGGACGGGCGCTGCTGCGACTGAATGCAGAGAAGCTGCAGCGCATGGGGCTGGCACAGGAGGCCCAGAGACAGGAGGTGCTGCAGCAGGTACTCCGACTGCAGGTGCGCGAGGAGGGGCGGAGCCTGCAGCTGCTCAGCCAAGGTCAGTGGGAGGGGCCAGGCGTGCCAGAGAGGCCTGGGGGGGGGGGGGGGGGGTGGGGGGTCTCCCTGGGGGCAGGGGGGATGGA